ATCAGTCTAGCTATTTTTAATAGTTATTTAGGACTACGATTACCAAATATATCTCTATATATCAAGTTGTACACTTTAGTCAGCAGAAAATTAAAAAAGCTCTGGAAAAATTTGATGAAGATAAGTGGAGAAAAAACATGGCAAACAAATCAAGTCTTATCCACTACATGAAATTTAAAACAGGGATCAAGCATTGTGAAAAATATTAAAAATCAGTTGAAAATTATAAAGATGCCCAGCTTAAATTCAAAGCAAGGACATACACTCTAGGTCTAGCATATGAGAAAAGAAAGTGGGCAAATGTCAATAGTGATTGTACATGTCCATGCTGCAAGAAAGGTGATGAAACTCTACAACACTTTTTTCTAGAGTGTGAAAGCTACAAAGAACATATGGATAATATGATGATGACAAATATTAGTCATATCCTATATAAAAATGGTGATATCTTTACAAAGTTATTACGAAGGGTAAAGCTTTATTATGTTTCCTTTTAGACGATAGCACTCAGCATTGCAACTATGAGATATGTGAAGAAATTTATAGAGTTGTGAAAAGATTTGGATTATAGAAAAGATTATGTAGATTAGATTTATTTCCTGTATTTTCTTTATATTTTAAAAGTTTCATTTTTTAAATTTTAAAGTTTTAAATTGTCTGTTTCTTTTTTCACTTATATAGTACTTGTTTTTTCTAATAATTGTATTGCAGCTCCCAATTACTTGCATTATTTGCATTTTATTATAATCTGTATTATTGGCATTTAATTATAAGTTGTATTTGGTAGCATTGAAATATTAAAAACAAACTTACCGCAAATGGCCCACTTGTAGAAATTCCCGCAAACTTTAAAGCGCGGTGGTCATCGCGTAGCGCGTGTTCGAATTTCATGTAAATAAACAATGTATTTGACACGCGTTGTATACGTCGCTATGAGTCCCATATCGAACAGGACGCGGCACGACGACTGCCGCCCTTTAAGTTACAGGCGCAGGCGATACCGTGCAAAATAGTAAATGACGCCCTCACAGGTTCATTAATTTTACCATGTTTATTTATTTATTTATTTATTTATTTAACTACTTTACTGGTTACTTTTTAATAATTATGTAGTATAATGTTTATTTTGTTATTATTTATTACATTGTATTTTAATTATGATGATTAATTATGAGATTTATTTGTATTCATTTATTTATTATCTATATCTTTTCATTGGCCGTTTAGTACCAAAACCTTTTCTATTTTGTGGCTATTTTTGGTTCGTTGGGTTCGTTTTGGGGTCGTATTGTAATAGTCTCCTCAATTCATGTGAGACTAGACCACCTAAGATTATGGACAACAAGGGAGTGAAACAAATCACTGCATTTCATTGTAACTAGACTTACTTAAAAATCTTAACAATAACAACCTTAAAATTGCTAACAGAACTTGGAGAAACAGTGCAGTGTACATGACTAAATCACGAGACCGTTCCATTATTTCCCACTTTTGCTATTTTCAGATTTTTTTATTTTTTTCAAAAAATATTAACAAAACAAAAACTGCGACTTGACAGCAACTCTCTACTCTCTCTCGTTCCCGTGTTATTGTATGGATGTGAAATATGGGGTCATGCTGATCTTTCTCAGATAGAATCTTTTTATCTAAAGTTTTGTAAACGGCTTCTCAAAGTACACAAAAATACTGCAAATTGTATGGTATACGGTGAACTTGGGGTATGTCCCCTTCGTAAGTTGGTGGAAATTAGAATGATACATTTTTGGAGTAGTATTATACAAAGTAAATCTTGCAAATTATCACATAGAATCTACAATTTATTAAAAGTGTTACATGACAGAGATATATACAAATCAGCCTGGATGTTAAAAATTAAAGGTGTTCTGGATACGGCTGGTATGTCGAATCTTTGGCAGATTGGATCAAATGTAAATAGAACGTGGCTTAAGCAAGCGATAAAACTTAGATTATCGGACATGTATACACAAACTGGAATGCCGATCTGCTAGAAAATGGGTTGTGTACCACTTATAGAATAATCAAAAAGTCATTATCTATGTCAGATTACATCTGATACTCGATCCAGTACATCGTATTCAATTATATAAATTTAGATGTGGGACCAAAATTTGCCCATTGTCACAGGTCGCTCTCAAAATAAGGCCGTTCATGATAGAATTTGTACCTTATGCCAAGGTAACCACCTTGGTGATGAATTTCACTATATCTTTGAGCGTATGGCCTTGAGTAAAGAACGGGAGAGATTTTGAAATCATATCATAGAATTAGACCTAACATTTTAAAAATGTATCGGCTATTTAACACATCTAATGAATCGGAGTTGTTAAATCTTTCTAGATTCTGTAAAGATATAATGAAGCGGTTTTTAATTCAGCCAGGTCATTTCTGACCACCGATTCAGTGCCATGTATTTTTATTTATTTACTTGCTTTTTGTAATTTTGGGCTGGTGCCTTATTATGCATTTCTTCTAATTTATTAATGTATTTCGTGTGACGCTTCCATGTACATGCTTTTTTCGTTTGTATTATGTAATGTATATTATTTAGTTCTCTCATACCTCTATCGGAGGAAGCAAAGGGAATAAATTATTATTATTAGTAGTAGTATTAACGTTAGTACCTTCCATGCTCTATCATATGATAGAGGGACTGTGACCTATACCCTGGAGGAGAGGGAATAAAAAAACAAGACACGTGACATTAACAAATCAATATGTGTGCTGTTCGATGTTTCAGATTATATTGGTAGAAAAAAGACACCATGATCTCTACCTGAGGTCACAGAGTGGCTAAAAAGAAGCATTGACCATGGAGGTAAAAAGAGAGGCCTGTGTTAGTACGTCCATGAAAGAAGCAAACGTGATTCTTGATTCAGAAGTTAATGTATTATGATCCCAATTTATAATTTTGTTTTACTTTTCCTAGTTATGTGTTTAACCATGGAGGTATAAACTGTTTATACCGCCATGGTTAAACGAATGTTTACACACATTATGTATAGACTTACTGTTAGTACGCTCAAGATTTATGCACGGCTGCTAACCGTGATTTATGTGACTACCAGAAGTATCTGAATAAACAGTGTTTCTCTAATGTCTTTGGTTAGAATGTGTGGTTGTTTATTTACTTAATTACTTATGCAAAAGCACATCGTACAATAGAAGTTCGGTAGTTACCTATCATTCTTCTCCAGGAACTATGATTGTAAGTAGACTTCTTGTAGACTTGCATACAGTGAAAGCCGGGTCACCACGAAACAGACAATAAACTTGTGTCATTTGTGACATATGAATACACTTTACCCAAGAGCTCGTGCATCTTATGTATCATTTCTCAGATACCTTTACATCATAGAAAACAAAAGACACATCCAGAGTATACAAATATAATAATTATTATTATGAATGCTTGTCCAGATATAGCTAGGTTCTCGGATTCCTTAAAGTTGTTCGCATATTAATACTGATACTGATATTAATGCTAATGTTAATATTAATAGTAATAATTGGAAACTTATTCAATAGGTTGTAGAAATGAACAAAATGCTCATTAACAGAAATGGGACTAGCCATAATAAAAAGGAGCTAAGAACATATAAGGACGTTAAAGATGCAATGTATTGTTATTTGATGAGACATTTGAGGACACACACTAACGCCACTACTTTTGAAGGACACTATATAGCATGTGTGGCGAGGGTAAAAGTACGCACCAAAATAATTACTGCACATGCGCATTAGAGACTTTCATTGCATAATCCAATGTCTTCTTCAACATGCAGTATCAAACATTAAAAATTCAATGTCGTCATCCATATTGCATTTATTCTTATCTAAAAATGCTGCTCGGTGACTTTGATAGAAAAGTTAAATATTATCATTGAAATGAATTTTAATTTTTGTGATTTCTTTCGAGGAATTTTAGGTGAAATGATTTACGCGAGTATATTATACCTTACTGCCCTCCAGTGGTCAAATTTGTAAATAACTTGCAGATCCAGTGTGTGAAACCCGTAACCCCTACGTCAGAGAAGTTCCGGTTTGCGTTGTCAGGTTTCTGAATATTAATGCACGTTCGATCGTTATTGACTAAAAAATAAAACAGTCTATAAAATTGTTCCTGAAAGTAATTAATCGTATTTTTTTCAAAGTTTGAATGAAACTCGATATACTTTCTTGTTTTGAAAGTAACAAATGTTGGACTATTTTCTCTCACGTTGGTGTCGGAAATTGACGATTGCTTTCAATGTAGTATCAACCGGGATGACGTCATCATCGGGAACAATCGGTGGTTACCTACGGGCGGAGTGATATGCTTCCCGGCTTATAAATATATTTATTTGTCTGTGTGTCTTCTCTCTTCATTTTTCTTTTGCGGAGAGTGTTTTTGTAGTCGTTTGTGTGTCTGTTTTAGGTCCACACAAACGCTGGAAAAATATATAACACTGTAAAAGATAAAAAAAAAACTACAAAATTTCAAAAAATCTACAAAAAAATCTGAAAATTCAATAGTGAAACAGGAGTTAGTTACAAGGTTTGACCAGTTCGTAGCAGCATCGTACATACAGGAAAGTTTTACAAGTTCGACATTTTCTACAAAGTTCATCGCAGCAGATTACCAGTTTGAAGACACAAGATGAATCCTTCAGGTCCAAGTTATCCTATGGCATCTCTATACGTCGGAGATCTCCACAACGATGTCACTGAAGCCATGTTATTCGAGAAATTTTCATCGGCGGGTCCTATCTTGTCGATCAGAGTTTGCCGGGATATGATCACTCGTCGTTCTCTAGGTTATGCATATGTCAATTTCCAACAGCCGGCAGATGGTAAGTTTCCCTGGTGTTTATTTAAAAGAATCGCCGATTACAATATCAGATTTATGAAGATTTATTTAATCATTCGCTGTATCGTCAGTTTCGAAAATGACTGGGAAATGTGTAAACGTGAACCGTAACCGTCACGCAATGGTGTAAAAATGGCTAACGTTTCCTAGTTAAGCCGGTATGCGACTTCCTTAAATATACATTCTTGCCATAGCTCCGCTGTGATTGCCAATTCTAGTTAATGACATCTTGCATTTGCTGTAGTTATTGTTAGCGAGGTTGTCATTTGTTACCGTGTAGATTTTTTCAGCGTTTTTACTCTTTCAAAAATTGTGGATGTGATCGTTTTCGATTGGCGTATGCAACGTGGACAACCATGTGGCTCTGCTGGTGGTGACGCAATTTGTCGGCGATCGCCCAGTAGAATCAGTTTATTCCGTATTCACCGGGTTTCATGCACGCCATTTTCGTTGTATCTTGAAATAATATTCATCAAAGAGTAATTGTTTTTAGATGAAGGAAAAACAAATTTCGTATGAATTGATCACCACAATTTAAAAATACAATATTTTTTCACCTTGTTTGTTTTATAGATCCATTATTTAAAATGTAAGGTCAAAGTTGGGAATTAAATGTTGCTCAGGTATAACAACCTTGTGACTTCATTTGCACTTACCTCCTTCCTCTTTGCTATAACATTGCTTTTTTTTCTTACAGCTGAACGAGCGCTTGATTCAATGAACTTTGATGTAATCAAGGGACGGCCCATTCGTATTATGTGGTCACAGCGTGATCCTTCACTTCGAAAGTCTGGTGTTGGCAATGTGTTCATCAAGAATCTTGACAAATCAATAGACAACAAAGCTATGTATGATACATTCTCTGCCTTTGGTGATATTCTTTCATGTAAGGTAAGAAATCTGGCAGTATTCTCATGGCACGGTTGCAGTTTGTATTCGGTAAACATACAAATTGCCCGATTTAGATAACAGCCTAGCATATAATGCGCAAATTCCATTTTTGGAACAACATGACTACTGCTAATGACCTTTATAAGGCATTTCTAGAATAGGGATGCATAGTAATTTCATGAAAATACAATTTTTGTTGTACAATTTGTACATGCCAAATAATTTCTTGATGAATAAACTTCATATTGACCTAATAATTTGAATAAAAACCTGCACTCAGATTGCCTAAACATAAAGGAAATTACCAGAAAGTCAAAATTGGGGGACTAGTAAACACAAGTTAAACTATGACTTCATGTTAAGTTACTTTTTGATAATTTTGAATTGTGTGTATGTGGCATTAGGTGTAGGGTAAGTAAGTCATAGAAATAAAATAAAGGGTAAATTATCAATTGTGTCTTCCTATGACCCTAACCCTATTTTAATCATTTGTAATATGCGTCATGCATTGAATGAACAAAGTAATTACGCAATCTTGTCATTCAATGCAAAGTTGAAAGTTAGTTTGGTATGTTATTCAGTGTTCTCCCCAGGAATTAAAACCACTGTGGCGGCCTAATTTGCATATCATTTACATAATAATAGAAACCAACT